GGTGCCAACATATTAATTAATCATTGTGATATTGTCACTGTTATAGAACATTTGGATGATTCAGAATTAATGATAAGATTTTTTTTTTTTTTTTTTGATTTCGAATAAAATTAGTGCCGTATTTTATAAATTCTATTTTTTTCTTATATATATACGATAATATATATAAAAAAAAAAAAATTCCTATTTCATTTTATTTCTAATTTCGAAATTTCAAAATGTTAATAGGAGTTTTTAAACTTTCATTTTCGGAATAAATTAATTCTGAGCCACCCTAAAAATTTATTATTATTTACCTGCTAAAAAAAACAAAAAAACAAAAAAACAAAAAAATTATTTTTCCATATTCAAAATTTTGGGTGCATTTTTATCGTTATACTGTGATTGGATAACCTTATCTGTCAAATAACTGTAGATCAACGTTTTTGCCCTTAACGTTAATAATCATGAGTAATTCTAGTTCTTTTAGTTCTTTTAAAAAAAATAGTCCACAAACGTCGAAATATCCACCAGGAGCACGTTTATCTCCATATAACGGACAATTATTATTATCAACAGGAGTACCCTCATTGGATGATATCCTTAACATTCTAATGTTTCACATACCGTTATCTTATTTGCCTTTTCACACGTTCATATTATCCTATTGAACGAACGAACGAATCACTTTTAAACACATATATTAGGTGGTGGCTTACCAATTGGCACGATATTATTAATAAAGGAAGACAAGTATACCGGATATTCTAAATTATTACTTAAATACTTTCTGGCACAAGGAATTGCTTCAGGTCACCACGTGCTGTTTTCCAGCGCTGAAGAAAATTCATCAAGTTTTATAAAAGGACTGCCCTGGATTACGAGCGATGACGCGAATGATTTGGATGATGGAGCAAAGATCGACGATAAAATGAAAATTGCTTGGCGGTATAAAGAAATGAAGAAGTTTGAATCTGGAATTAAAAGTAATAATAGAAAGAATGGTATGACATGTTCATAATAAATTTATCTTTTATCAATAATATTTTAATCGATCTTTTTTTTTAGTCATACCAACCATTTTCAAAGATAAACGAATCCCTATCGCCGGATCTCAACGGCAGGAGCAACCATTTTGTTATACTTTCGATTTAACAAAACAAATTCCACAATCATCGATAGATTTGGCTTCAATAACACTAGTAGATGCAACTAAATGGACCGATGAATTACATAATGAGAGCATATATGATAAGCTTTTATCCGAAATCCGTCATGTTATTGAACAAAACAAGTTTAGGTTTGATTCATATGTAAAATTTATATATAATAAAATTGAATTTTAAAATTTGAATTTAATAGATAATTATTTATTATTTAGATCATTGGCGGCACCATCGACTGGTGTTGAGAAAAATGCGTTAAGAATTGGAATACATTCGATCGCATCACCTTCATGGCGTTCTAATTCTCCTCATGTATTTATTATTTATGTTCAATATATAAAATTTAAATATATGATAATTTTAAATATTATTACAATTTTAAATATTATTACTTGTTTATTGTTACTTTAGGATCTTTATCGATTTTTTCATGCCTTACGTGGCTTATTAAGAATTTCATCTAGTTTATCTGTGATAACAATTCCAGCTCATTTATATTCATCTAATAATTCGGAGTCTTGCTCATTTATAAGACGAATTGAACATATATCTGATGCAGTTGTCGAGTTGGAGTCATTTGCAGGTTTTTTTTGACTTTATTCTTTCATTTCCTTTCACTTTTAATGTTACTATATTACTAATAATGTATAAAAATGATAGGTTCATCTGCAACAGTAAATAACATATATAGTGCTTCATATCATGGTTTATTCCATGTGCATAAATTACCGACAATCAATTCCCTTATATCACCTTCAATTAAATTATCAATACTTTCGGGTGGGGGTGGTAATAATTTAGGATTTAAATTGAGAAGAAAAAAGTTTTCCATCGAGACTTTTCACTTACCACCTGAAGGTGGATTAACAGTAAGGAAAGTAATTAAGTCTGGAGGTGATGATGAAAAAAAGGATCCTTATGATTTTTGAAGTTATTTTACATTTTTATAAAGTTACAAAAATATTTAAATAAATCAGATTGCAATGCAAAACAACTGTGTATTAGTGTATTAATAGAAATTTGTCTGATTGGCTAATGCAAATCCAGTGTTATCATTGGGGTTACCTGCTTCTATACGTGATTAAGTCATGACATTAATAATGATTAAGATAAATACAAATTGTTATGGATTCCGTATAATGAATTTGAAAATATTAAAAAAATGAATTTTCAACCATATACTATGCTGGCTGGGTTAAACCAATTTGGCATAGAAATATTTTGAGTCTAGTAGCACTTAAATTGGTTCATAAGTCAAATGATGATCCCTGGAGTTTATAGAATATTTATTACTAATGTTCGATAATTAATATTTTGCTCTTAGCACTTAGACTTTAATTTATTTTCATAGAAAATTTTCTAATTTAAAATTAACGAAATCTGACACGGCTAAATTATGAAAATCGAAAAAAATTCACTTTAACCATCTAGTTAAAGTTTTTTTTTTAAAAAAAGTCAACATTATGCAATACAGTTACATCTCTATTAATTAATAATTATTATATAAGAAATATTTACAAATATATAAATATTCTCGATTCTTTCAATGATTGATTGATTCATGAAGTATTTGAAAATATGTTTTTGATATATTCTTGTAGCAAAACTCCTTGAAAACAAAAAAAAATTATTAAGACAATGTATATATATAACCCGCTTATTCATAATATCAACATACCCATTGTCAATAAAGCAGATTCATCCATTTGACCAAAGATTTCGGGTAATTTATAGGCATTTGTATAATGATCACTAGCGAAACGGCGAATAGAATCAAAGAATTCCTATATTCATTAACGCAAAACTTTTTAATTAATATCAATGTTGCTTCAAATAAAAGACAAAACGACAGGTGACAGGAACCCTTTCAAATCTTATAAACAAAATTTTTATGGGTCCCTTTAGAGTGAAACTCGCATCAGAGGTGGCTATGCTTTTATGCAGATCACTGCCTAAATAGTATCTAACCCTAATTCTATGAAAAACGCGGGTTTCACCTTTTTGTAATATTAAACAAAAAGCAATATAACATACTGGTTCCGGTAACGATAACTTTTCAGAACTATTAGAAGTTTTCTGATTAATATTCCCATAATCTTTAGGAGACATAGTGTTCGCATCTTTAAGATAATTTACTCTTTCTTCTGTATTCATTCCATTAATTTTTGCAATATCAGTGACAATGTAATAAAGTTTATCCAAACTTTTAACCATCAAAGGTCTAGCCTTCTTTAAATGAAGTTTAATGAGAGTAGGACATATATTCAAACGTGTTGCTGCTTCATGAATGCTTTTTGCAGAATGTAGTAATTGACATTGATCGTCATAAACGTGAATAATCTTTTTTTGTTCGGATAAAACTATTTTTGCCATTTCCTCTAATAATAAATGTTTATAAGATGAATAATAATAAAATAAAATTTGTTAATTCATCAAATAAAATCTACTTACTTGCAACATTTTTTTTTACGAACTTGTAGCAAGCAATTCTGCTTGGGTCTAATTGTTTTGAATATAAATACCATTTTCTATGCACTAAACTGCCGGTATCAATAAGTCTTCCTATTTTCTTTCGTTTAAGAAATTTACCAGCACTTTCTTTATCTTTAAAAGAATTCTCAAACTTCATGTACCTATCATATATAAAAACGGGAGTGGGTCGAGACATGACCACAGTCAGAAAACATTAAACCGTAAAAGATGCATATTTAATTAGCGGTTAGGTAAATTCGGATAATTTATCAATAATTAAGTTCCCGACATTAGCTTAATGCTGGCCGGTATTATGTCTTCGGGAAAATGGTTTCGGAGTAACCACTGAGTAACAGTTAACTGTTAATAAACATATCATTATGTGGATAATCAATAGTTTTTCGATTAACGATTCTGAATCACTATATCGATATGAAATTAAAAAGTTTAAATATGGGTCCAGACCTTTAATCTCTTTACATTCTCAAATATGGCAAAAAAAAATATACTTTTATTTAGCGACACATTTAATATCAATGATTGTGATAAAGATGGGAAAAAATTTGATCGCGGTATTAATTTAATATTCTATTTTACTTGTATTTCGACAAATTATATTTACTCTTAAAATACGTTTAATAGTTTCTCGCTTCGTAGGACGCGGTGAAAGCTTAGAAATGGAACTTATAATAGATGTCAATACTGACCTTTATCCTCTAGATATTGGTGACAGAGTAAACGTAATTCTTACTACATCATTGGCTTTAGATCCATCAAAAGCTCAGTCAGAGGATATGATTACTGGAGCAACGTCTGCTGAAGAAATGACTCAAAAGGCGTCATGGAGAGAAAAATCGTCCACGGAAAGAGATTTGTCTGATGAGTATGAATATGTCATGTATGGAAAGGTTTATAAATATGACGAAGAAAGACGAAGTAAAGTGTATCCTTTTAATTTCGTTATCAGCCCTTTTGGAATTTGATATTAGTGTAATTGCCTTTTTTTTTTTTTTTTATGTGATTCTCAACTTATTAATAAATTTGTAGTGCTGTTTACATATCTTATGGTGGCTTGCTCATGTCGCTTGAGGGTGATTTTCGTCACGTACAGAATATTCATGTCGGTCAGCAAGTTTATTTGCTGATGAAACGCGTATAGTGATACTTTCTTATTGTTATTATGGCTATCAGGCATAAAACATCTTCCCTAGAGTGTTGTATATAATAAAAATTATAATAAAAATATATGAATTTATTATAAATTTTAAGCTAAAGATCTTTTTTAACTTAATTTAAAATTAAATTTGTAACAAAAGAAGAATTTTGGTTTATTTTTTTATTTTGGCTATTTTGTTTTTTTATATTTAGCTTTCTAATTTTTAATTATAATGCAGAAGTTTTTTACAGTTTATATTACTACAAAAAGCTTTATATCAAATAATATAGGTATTTATATAATGAATTTACATAAAACTTATTTAACAAGCTTATATAATTACTAAAAGCTATTAATTTAACTAATATTTTTACTAAAATTGTATATATTTTTTTTGCTTTAACTTTTTTTTTTTTGGCATGTTTTGCCACTGTTTTATTAAGATATTAACCAAGCAAAAATTACAAGAATTCTTAACTAGTTATTTCTTTTATCGCAAACAGTAACTCACTTGACTTAAAAGCTTAGGTGTGATATCGTCTAGTGGTCATTTATCTCCTTCCAGGCCCCTAACTTCCTAGAGGCATGAATCTTTCAATCATTGGCCAGTGTCACAAGTCATATTAGTATCATCTTTTTTTTTTACAGAATGAAATACAAACACAAATTCAAAGGGCAAAAAAAAGAAAAAAGGGGTGATACCTTGGCATCCAAATTTGATCCACCTAAACAAAAAAAAACCCAAAATAACAAATAAAAGAAAAAAAACAAAATAAAAGAAAAACAACAAAGATAGCATTATTAAACCTGTGTCGGATTGTAAAAATTATATAGTACTATTAAAAAACTAGTTTAAACTCTATACTAGTTATTTATGTCTATATTAGAATATATAAAATATCCATTCTTGAGTAAAGATCCAAGTTTGAAATTTTTCTTGTGGTCTTACCAAATTTCGGCACGGTATCTTGCAAACACATTCTCATGCTTAATTGCTTGTTTCTAGGCAAAGTTAATAACTTACGCTTCTTCAGCTTCTGTAAATCTTGGTGTAAATACTGTAACCTCTTGAGATAACTGATCAAATATTTTTTATCCCAAAGTAGGTATGTACTCCTGTATGTGACTTTCCTTTTTCAGCAATGATTGTTGTCGATTTTTCAATAAGAGTATGTTGTATTTTCTACTTTTTGTCGAAATTTCGTAAAGAACAGAGAGTGGGTCTTGGAAGAGGGTTTTGGTTTGTGGGTAGCCTTAAACTTTGATAAGAAGTGTGTTGAAAACTTGCTTGTTGTTCTCCTTTAAACTAGTTACATTTAACTTCATCAGCAAAAATTATGTTTATATTAAAATTTTTTGTACAAGAGCACCACCTTCTGCCAGTTATCTTGTACAAGAACACTTTTAACTTGCTTGTTGGATATACAGAAGAGTCCAGAAGAAATGGTAAGTTAAAACCTTGACCTCTATAAAAACCGTTACTTGTAGTTGTCTTTTCTATTTTCTCTAACAAGTTTTCCATTTTCATTAGTCGAATGTTTGGTACAAGTAATCGTTGGGGAGAGTTGTTTTGTTCTAACTTTTTATATAAAAATACTATATTAATTAATATTATTATTATTATTGTTGTTGTTGGTTTTTAACATTTTATTAATTTAACTTGTATATAAATTTTTGTTTTATTTTTTTTTTTTAATATTAAAGTGATCATTTTGGGGTTTGGCATATTTTATTAAATCTAGATTCAAATATTGGTGTTGCTATATATAAGCAGTACCTGATTTTGTTATATTGATGAGAATACAATTGATTATATATACAATTTTAGTTATTATTTAATTAAGAGTTTTGCTATATCTATTTTTATTTATAGTTACTTACCAATTGTTATATCTAAGATATACTTGTGAATTTATTATTTAAACTTTCTAATTAACTTGGTATTATTAGATATTTTTTTCTAAAAAAAAATTGTTATTAAGGCTCTTTAGAATTTTAAAGTGATCTTACTACCTTATAGAAAGATTCTTTATTCTCATAGTAAATCTATTAGAGTATTTTATGTCCCACATATGTATTATTTAGATTTTCAGTAACTTATATACAATCTGAAAATTATTACTTGCAGTTTTTTATTTTCATTACTATTATCTACTTTTTGCTTTTGCAAAGTTCATACAACCCTCAGTACTCCTTTTCAAGTCTATCTGGTATCTTCTCTTTAGTATTTTTAGTTAATCTTTTTAGACTTCAATCTAGATAGTCTAGAAAGAATATTAGTTTTCTAATATTTGTATTTGCAGATCTTTTTCTTTTAGTTAATATTTTAGCAACCTGGTTAGTAAAATACTTTTGCCAAATATCTAATTTTTATTTAATTATACTAGCTTCAGATATAGTCTATTTTGATAATATTAACAAAAGTTTATACTATTTCTTTTCTCAGAACTTGTCAAACAAATATCTATTTCTTCAGTTCTTTGGTTTTATATAGCTTCTTGAGACTTATCATGAATTCATATCAACTAATACTAACTTGTATACTTTTATATAATTTATATATTGTATAAATATTAGATCTTTCTTCTAGATATTAGATAATACTTGATATAACCTTAGTAACAAATTAGTAATCTAACTGATTGATAAGAGATAATAACTACAGTATAAGGGCAGTGTCATTTATCACCTGATTATTTTTTATCAGAGGCTTATCCCCCTTCCCTCCTCTTAATATAAAAAAAAATCAGGTTCTTATATATAATTTCAACTTTTTTTACCCTCTTCCCCCTAAAAAATCACTTGATTTTTTTCACATCTCTAACACATATAACAGAATATTTAAATTTTATTACTAATGAAATTTAAACCCTAAATATACTACTTGGGGTATGATAATTTCACCATTTTACTAAGTTGCTATATTTAATATTTTACTCTATTTTTTACTTGTGCAAGTAAATTATTATAATTAATTTTATATAAAAATAAAATTAATATTAACCAAATCTTGTTTTTGCTATATTATATTGTTTAGCAAATTTTTAAAAATATTTAAAAGTTTAAATTAATTATTTTAAAAAATAATTCAAAAAAATAATTATATCTAAAAATAAATTATTTTAAAAATAAAAAATAAATATATACTGTAGTTTTTATATAGTGCGGGACAACTAAAGATATCTAATTTTTTTTAAATTGTTATAACTTTTTTAAAACAAGTTAAAATAAAAATCTCTCTTTCAAATTTATTGTTTTTTAT